ATAAATCTCAATTAAAGTGGTCTAATCTTCTGAGGTAGATTTGATAAATACATAGAGTACATGCAATTGAAATATGGGTTTGAGGCTCATTGAGTGCCAGAAAATATAAACTGGTGTCATTTTAGACTGTTGAGGATGCAAATGAAAATAGTAACTTATAGAACCAGTGGTAAGGTTCTAGTCAGTATAATTACAAAATATTGAAATAGGTATATGGTTTGCTTATGGAGTGGTTGTCTGACTTGTTTAAATCGTGTATGAAGACTGAACCTGTGTCTCATGATCAGAAGAATATATTGCAATTATTGTCACTTTATACAAAGTAAATAACAACCATGAACAGAATTGAATTGAATTGAATTTATTGCATTTATATGCCGCCCTTTTCCCCGAAGGGGACTCAGGGCGGCTCACAATCCAAGTCAGGGAAGGGGGTACAGATAAGGGATAAATGATCACTTCAGATTACAGCCAGTCAGTTAAGGAAAGCTTGATTGCTGTTGTCTTGGCTTGTTTATCATATTATTGCCATGGTATTTGGAATAGGAAGTTGGTTGTTAAAAAGAAAACACGTTTTTTCTTCTTTCAACTAGGAACAAATCATCAGCTTAGTCAATCAGATTTGTGGCAAAGTATCTGGCAAGAACGGCACCATTGAGATCTGTATCAGCAAGCCTACACCAAAAAGAGGCCCGCGCAAGAGAGCAACCCTTGACGTGCCATCATCAAGACTTTCATCCTCCAGTTCATCCAAAAGTGCTTCAAGTTAATCATGAAGATGCCAACAGTCTCTCTCATTTTGGTCGATTTTATATATATTTTTTGTAATTATATCATAGTTTGGAGTATTGCTGTAGATTACAAGCTGTCTTTGCACTAGCTCTACGGAAGATTTTCTTCTGGTTTTAGAGAACTAATTTTGATTTAGCATTAAACTGTTGAATTTTATTTTTTATTTTTATTTTATACTTAGGATAGTTTGATACAGCAGGATTTTTTTTTAACTGTTGTACACTCATTTTTTTTTGATAGCAGCAAGGGAACTGATAACATTTGTTTTTGTCCCGCTGCCTGAAAACAAAAAAAAGCCTCTTTCCACCTACTAATTGTGAAAAGGCTTTTAAATAACCCCCCCTTTCTTTTATTTTTCTGGGTAGGTTGAAGTTTGGTGCGTTTTATAATTTGTTCTCCAATCATGTCAGCAGATTTTTTTTTTCCTATCGTGGAAAAAAAAAAGGGATAGGAGGCAAAACTTGAAAAGAAATTGCTATACTTTTAGCTTGTATTCTGTAACAGGCAGGAAAAGTTTTGTACCTTTTTAAATTGGAGAATACACCCTTTTATTTGAGAGGTTATGGCAGCTGAAGATGGACTTAGTTTTCTAATCATAGGCAAATGGGAGATTTGGAGAAAATGTTCTCTGTTACCAGCACTTCACTATGCATCTGTTCGGAGGAGGAAATGAAAGAGAGAGAGAGAGAAAAAAAAAAGACTGCCTGCTTTGGGGAGGCATGTGAGCGAAAACTGTGCCTGATTTCACTAGGAAATCCATTCTGGGTTGTTGTGGTTTTTTTGGTGCTGTTGTCTACTTTATCAAAAACCCTTCAATAGCATCCTTGAAAAATGATTGAAGCCATGCTTCTTGTCATAGACGTGCAATCTTTTAACATTCCATTCTCATTCCACTGCTGTTTTTCACCCCGTCACAGTCAGCATTAATTTCCTTTTGTTGTATTGATTACATTTAGAGCCACTAGCACGTTTGCATACTTCTTTTGAATGTGAAAAAATGCATTTGCTCTCCCATCTTGTCTATTATTTTTCCTCCTTTCACGTGTAACAAAAAAAAAAAAAAAGTATCATAACTTTTGTACATAAGCCTGTAAATTGTTTTAAATACTTGAGCCTTTTTTCTTGGGAGGGGTGGGGGGGGGAAGGGTGGCAAAAGAGACAAGATGAAGAAAAAGCCTTACGTTTCACTTTCTTCGTCGGTTGGATTGGATGCTTACAGGGTTTTTCTTGTAACATTTATAAGTGCTGCTTACATCACTGAACAACAACAAAAAAATAATAATGGAGTTAGTTGTTGCCCTTTTCTGGTTGTGTGTACAGTATGTGTGGAATAAAAAAGGGAAAATGTTTTCACAAACTCTTTGTTTCATAATTGAATTCAACAACAGTAGAGCTACCCATATTGCACTGAGCTTGCCAGTGGTGAGTGACTTGTCAGGAAAGTCTTATAAAATACATATTGTTGGTTGTTGCAGAAGACTGAATTGTTTTGGAATATTTAACAATAACAACAGAGTCGAGTGTTTCCAATGTGGTTGTCCGGTTTTTATGGCCTTGCTGTGTATTCTTTCCTTCTTGACAGTAAACTTCTGACTATGGCTTACAGTTTTGACATTTAATTTATTAGCGCTGCTCTGCTCTTTCCTTGTAAGGAAAGACTTCATGTTTATTGCCAGATTTTGTTTACTTTTCAGGTTTGTAATACAAGGTTTAATAAAAATACACTTTTTGGACACTTTGTCTTTCTTCTGAAAGCACTAGAGATCACATGATTTAAAGCCAGCTGTCTTATTTAGAACTGCTATCGTGGGCTTAGAAAATATGTAGTTTATGTAGTACTTCAAGTCATTTGCAGAGCTATATTACTGCAACAAAAGTGAAATAAATGTTTCAACTAATTTGCAGTCCAAACCAGAGGGGTTTTGAACAGCTACGGCTCTGAATTATCTTCCCCTCTCACACTCCTTTGAGACAGAATAATTCAATAGTACATAGGCTTTGTGAGCAAGCTAAATCAATATTTTCTAAAATATTAGAAAAGATAAAAAATAAAGCTGCCAATTGTTTGCAAGTATATTTGCCCACTCATAGAACAAGACCTTAGACATAATATCAAATTAGAACATCTCTCCTTCAAATATTTACAGAAGGGGGGAAAGTAGAACCTGTGATCCTCACAATATTGCTACAGCTTCCAATATGGTGAATGATACTGAAGCCCAGCAAAACCTGAAGGGCCGCAGCTCTCGTTCCTCTGCTAAAAGGGTGAAAGATAACAAATAGTGAAAGATATTTCTAAAGGGGTGCAAGATAACAAATAGTGCTTGGAAGTACCATGCTGGAAGCCAGGAAATTGTGAGTTCTGGTCCTGCCTTGGGCCTGAAAACTGAACGGGTGACTTTGGGTCAGTCATTTTCTCTCAGCCCAACTCATCTCACAGGGTGTTGTGGGGGAAAATAGGAGAAAGGAGGAGTGTTAGACATGTTCACCGCCTCGTGTATAAAAATAATACAAGGTGGAATAAAAAAGTTTTTTAAAATGTAAAATTAAATATAGAGGTTTCCTGTCTGTATTAATAAGGGCCACTGAGAGAAATAGTAGTGTGGTTTTCTTAAAAAAAAATCTCATGTATGTATCTTATTTTCACATCCCACATCCTTGGGACCTGATGATGACAAATAATTTAAGTTACAGTGGTATATTTTTAGTTGGGGGTCAGATTAAATCCAAAGGCCAACCATCTTTTTTTTTATAAAACCCAAGTGCTGCTTTTTGTCAATTGCTGATCCTTCAACTGAGGCAGTTATACGAAAGCCAAAAAAAACCCCCACCCAGCTGTTCAATTTTTGGTTTTAACTCTACATACATAGAATAGCAAGTACTTTATACACGTCCAGTTTTATCTTTTTTTTCTAGAGAGATACAGCATACACAGGGACTTTTACCTTTCTAATTCTTTAATGTAAATATCCATTCAATCTCTCTTGTTCCAAATAACTAGCCTATTCTCCATTGCATGATAAACACCTTTTTTTATATTCAGTCTTTTTAGGAACAAAAATATACTAACTTACCACAAAGGCTTAAAATTATCTCCGTATTATAGTTCTACTGAAGATTGTAAAGTAACTCTATTCACAATTTGTCCTTTTCAGCAAGCATCGACAGGGAAAGTTAAATTGTTCCAAAGGCAAGAGTTTATTGCTTAATGGGTGTGCTTTCAGAATGCTTTTAATATAAAAACACATTATTTTCTATGACTGCATACAGTTATCTCTCGGAAGATAAAACATGACAAGCTCTGCCAATTATGTCTTTTCTCATTCACTCCAGTCTTAATTCCTATAGGGCAGTGTGATACGCCTCGGTCTGTTAATCACTCTCATCGCTGACATGTGAGGAGGGGCTCTTCGTTTCTGTATTCACAAGGGCGGTGTCCACTTGCACATCTTCCTCATCTAACTGGACCACCGGGGCGTCTCCTTCACAGGCATCTTGGCTAGTAGCATCTGTCCCAGGTGCTTCCGAAGCGAACTTCTCGCCCAGCTCTGACTTAGTGGGAACCTGAAAACTGATTTCATTTTGATGGGTGCTGGAATCTGACCCTTCAAAAACAAAAAGATTATTTTTTTTAAAAAAGATACAACCGAATAGCTGGTTATTACGGTATATAATGAATATTTGTCATGGGATCTAACTAGCTCTTCTTTTTTTTGTTAGGACAATTTATAAAGCAAGCTATACAAGGTATATGATTTCATATCAATGACTGTAGAACTACTCCATTGTTTCTCAGGATGTGGTAAAAGATGAAAATATAGGCATTCTTTTACAATCTCTGCTTTCGTAAAATAGGCCAGAACAATCAATTTTAAATAAAGATCTGCAACTGCAGATCAAAATTAAGTGCTCCAAAATGAAAAAGTGGCTTCCTTGTGAAAAGTGATCTGGATAATCACCTCTGATTTTGGGAAACAGAGTATACCGCTTACCCCACAAAAAATGGATTTCCTACCAGTATTCTACCTTCTTTTTTCTGATCTCACTGATTATCTTAGATAAGTAATTAGACTACAAATAAGTGTAAGAAAATGCCAAAAAGGAGACATTATAAGGACAGCCAGGGCTAACTTTCCTATCTTTCCCACTGACCCCCAACCCTCTCTGATCTACCTTTATATAGCAAAGCTGCTTTACTACACATTTTGCCTGCAATTTCTGCATGGTTTTTAAAATTAACATGCCAGAAAGTTTAGAGTAATCATATAAGGCACATAATTGCCTTCCTCATCAGAGAGGTGACATACAACTTTAATAAATAATATTGAGATACTTCAGCATATGTGGGGGGGGGGGGATCCCAAGACCAATAGATATCTCTACTGCTGAAATTTCTCCTTTGGTCTTTGAACCAAGGCAAGTTTTGAATCCTGCACAGAGCAACATTAAGGGCACTCCCAACTTTATAATAGCTGTTTTGGTGGGAGTCCTATCCTCTGTGAATATCAGGCATAATTGGCATGCTCTCACTAAACTCTCAGAGTTTCCGATGCAGCAGATCCCTGAAAAGGAACCTGGAACAGCAAATGGGCCATGCAGATGGGCTAGCTGGATTCTTGGTCATCACTACTTGAAGAAGTTGAGTTACAGGTACTCGAATTACATGTTCATTTTATGCGCTTTGCAAGAAATACATGTTACAAATAAAAATATGTAACTAGTACAATATTCCTTTTTTTAATGTAGGAAAAGTAAACAGGGTGAAAGAATGGGAGTAAAGATTATAGTGCTTTTCATTCACTAATTATCTCTTCTCCAAAGTTTATTTCATATTTAAAAAAAAGAAGTGGTCATACTCTATATTATGGGAGGTTATTTTTTGATGGTGAGCCAACTAAAGAATCTTTCTTCAAATATTTTCAAAATGGTGAAAAGATAAGGAAGAAAGGACAGACATAAATTGGGGGTTTTCATAAAAGAAGGCCTCTGGCCAAATTTTTAATGTGATTCCCCTAGAGCAGTGTTTCTCAACCTTGGCGACTTTAAGTCCTGTGGATTTCAACTCCCAGAATCCCCCAGCCAGCATAGCATAGCTGGCTGGGGGATTCTGGGAGTTGAAGTCCACAGGACTTAAAGTCGCCAAGGTTGAGAAACACTGCCCTAGAGAGTAATTGGAGGACTTCTATTGGTGTCCATTAGGCCCATATTTATTTTTTTAAAAAATTGGAACATTCTCTACGTGTGTGCCAAAAGCATCCATGTCTCAGGAGTCTGAACGCCACAAAGTGGAATTTGATTAGCGATTTTGGTTAACTTTTTTTTGCCTTGTGGCTCCCTTAACAATCTTTGATAAATACTAGGGCTTACACAGACTTTGGATTTGCAGGGAAAGAAAATGTCTTTCAGATCTTAGTATACATTAGCAGCCTTCAGCAACTCCTTAAGCCAACCTGATTATTTTTACAGAACTGCGCTATATCTATAAGGAGAATGTGAAAAGATGCTGCTGCTTCAGATAGTGGCTGACTAATACTATGAGAGAGAGAGAGCCCTGGGCACTCTGAAGCACATACAGAGCTTTGCATTACAAATGAGGTCTTTCCTTGGAGCTCTTTTTATCAATGCAACATGAACAAGGAAGACACGAATCTAAAACCACATTTGAGTGTACAAATGCAAAATGATTTTATATGTAGTTTCCAGTAGATATCTTGCTATCTTGGAATTGCCTGGATATCAGAGAGCCTTCTTTTGAACATAATATGATAGACTATTATCCATCTTGCTGGAAAACCAGTTTCCTGAGATTCCTTATTAACTGACATGTTCATGCGAATCAGCTGCAGCTGTATATCTTGCTCTATTATTATATGCAAAGCAAATGTATTTAAACCTTTTAAGCCCAATTACGTAGCTCATCAAAAGAACTTTTATGTCTCCCTTCTGCTCTCGGACAGGTGCTCAAATTATCAATGTACCCAAATTCTGTAGGAGAAAAAGGACGCCGTGATCAAACACCTGCCTTTTTGTAACACTGTATCTCACATAAAATTAGTTTATTTCTTTATAAAAGTGGGTTTGTGTGATTCTGATCTTGTTATAATTGGGTTGTTTTGTTAATACTGTCTTCATTTTATCTGGCTTATTTTAATATTGATAATCTCAACTAGAGTCCAATTGAATCAGAGGCTCTGGATTTTATAGCTCCATCATTTCCTACAATTTAACAGGCTGCCAGCAGAAAACTTAAACTTTGTAAGTATAATGGGTGAACTCCGATAGCATAAATGAGACCCCCTAAGAAAGCATCTTCTAAGCCAGTGTTTGTCAACCTTGGCGACTTTCAGTCCTTTGGACTTCAACTCCCAGAATCCCCCAGCCAGCATAGCTGGCTGGGGGAATTCTGAGAGTTGAAGTCCACAGGACTGAAAGTCGCCAAGGTTGACAAACACTGTTCTAAGCCATACAGCAGTATGACATCAAGTAGCCTTGCATCTAGCACATCCTTTGATTACAAGAAGAAGAAAAATCTCTTGATTTAAAATTAATCTATCCCACCAGAAAGACTCAATTAGCTCTACTGTGTTTGTTCATTTAATACAATGAGAAACAACTACCGATCACTGCGGATAGCAAAGAACTCTCCTCTACTCCAGAATTAAGGAAGACATCTAAGGCTTCTTGATCCGACATATCGACAAGGTCCATTTGTTCCAACGTGTCCACATTCACTTCCATGGAAGACATGCTCCCTATTGGCTCTGAAATTAAAAATAAATAAAGTCAGCAAATTTACCCGTATTTAGGAATTTGTGGTTGTAAAATTTAATTTTTACCCCCATTTCCTTCTCTATGCCTGAAAGGATGAATCAGGGCTTATGAGTCTCAGAAAAATAGTAACAATTTATTGAAACCCATTGTAAAGAATTGAGATAGTTTCTTGGAAGTTTCTAAGAGTCAAATAAAATGTAATAATAATTGAATGATTACATGGAGATTTATACTGTAGCTATCAAATTCCGTGATGGAGAAGTTCTATGTTTTCCAGAATGTTCCCTTAACATATTGATGTAAAGGCACTCCCACTTCTACTACTACTATAATCAATGATCCAGATTTATAGAAAACCAATCACTCTCAGGATTAGACATTCCAGGAAACAACAGAATACCCACCGAGTTCTTCACATTCCTGGTCCCATTTTCCACTAACTAATAGAAGCACTAAGTAACTTTTCTATCGACCAGTTTTACATTCCAAAAGTTTCAAGTATAACATGCAACAAAGTTACTGGAACCTTATCCAACATTGTGAAGGGGCCGAATCTATTATCCTAGGACAGTGATGGCTAACCTTTTTCTAAAGCTGGGCCAAAACTGTGTGCGTGCGACAATCATGTGCATATGCTGACACACATGCACGAGTGACATCCCCCCCCCCACGCAGGGGGGAACGTTTACCTTCCCCAGGCTCCGGAGACTTTCCTGAAGCCTGGGGAGGGCGAAAAACAGGCCCAGGAGCCCAACAGGAAGTTCTTCCCGAACTTCCTGTTGGGCTTGTTCTTTGCCCTCTCTAGGCTCTGGAAGTTTTCCTGAAGCCTAGGGAGGGCGAAAACCGCCTCCCCGGCCCTCTGGAAGGCCTAAAATCAGCGCGTGCATGCACACCGGAGCTAAGGGCTGCCAATTCGGCAAATATGGCTCCTCGTGCCACCTGTAGCACACGTGCCATAGGTTCACATCATGGCCCTAGGAGGAAGGGAAAACACTGTATGGCCTGATATAGAAAGAAAAGGGGATATGGATTGGTATAAGGTGAAGTCTTCAATTAGGACCAGTTTAACTTTAGGCCAGAAATAAACATCCTTCAAGGCAGAATATTCTTAAGGAAAGACACATAATTATATATGCTGTTAAAAAGACAGGAAGTGTTTCTCTTGCATGATCTAATGAAGTAGAACAAAACAAAGCTCAGACCAGATAAAAGAGTATTTTTATACAGTGTTTCTTCATGCAACTTATCAATACAGGAAACAGCAATGGAGCTTCCATGAAAAAAGTAAATGTAATGCAAGTGTCAATGTCTTGTTCCAGCGGTTATTTGGAGATATCAAAGACAACAGTAATCACAGTAATAGTTACATGGGGGTCTCCAGTAAGAGCCCTATGTGTTCACATCCTGCTAATGCACTCTCCCATTAGAAGCAGAATTCTTCTTTATTTACTTGGTTCCTTTGGGAAAGAGCCGATTTCTGATTAATCTTTTCTCTTGATGAGAAACAAGATACAAGTTACAGTTCAGCAAGTTTCAGCTGTACTTTCTGCCATCTAGCTCACTGATTTGCAAGAAAATAGTTAAATAGGAGAGATAAACTGTAACTTCTGTTTACAGTTTGAAGCAATGCAAAATACATTTAATTCCAACTGTCACAATGGCCACTCTAGTCTTACAACTAGAGCAAAGGTGTAAGAGAGGACACACCATTTTTTATTCTGATTATACTTAATATCAACTAATCTCGTTTCTTGAAAAGGAGCACCCTTGAGCACATCACTCATCCTAACCTTGTTGAGTAAGATTATACTATGGAAGGTGGGATGTGGTGGCTCAGCAGCTAAGGCGCTGAGCTTATTGATCAGAAACTGACGGCAGTTCGGTGGTTCAAATCCCTAGTGCTGCGTAATGGAGTGAGCTCCCGTTACTTGTCCCAGCTTCTGCCAACCTAGCCGTTCGAAAGCACGTAAAAAAATGCAAGTAGAAAAATAGAGACCACTTTGGTGGGAAGGTAACAATATTTCATATGCCTTTGGCGTTAAGTCATGCCAGCCACATGACCACGGAGACGTCTTCAGACAGCGCTGGCTCTTCAGCTTTGAAATGGAAATGAGCACCGCCCCCTAGAGTCGGGAACATATGTGCAAGGGGAACCTTTACCTTTACAGTATGGAAGACGTAAAAAGAGTATAAAATCCAATGGAATGCTGGGAAAGCTCAGCGAGTCTACTTTGTGATTTAGCTGGAGAAAGATTTACCTGGAGTCTTAAAATGAAAACTTTCAATACTTGCCCCGTCTTTCAGCTATCTGCAGATAGCCTGTGGTAAGGTACTGTTCCATGTCCTGCTGGAAGGCTTCTTCAAAGAATTTCTGCCGCTCCTTTAGCTTCATTTCTTGGGTATGCTCCATGTCCAGCACTTTCTGAACATGCTCTGTATCAAGTTCAGCTGAAATAGGGAAATAAATTCTGTTATTTCAGCACTTAAAAGGAGCATTTTATACACAACTGTATCTCAATAAACTCATGTGATTAAAATAGAAAATACTGTAAAGCAAATAATTATCTCTCAGGTTTTGACATTTCTTAATTATCCAAGACTTATTTCAATGCTAGCTTGCAAAACAATTCAATACCAAATAGGCCAGTGTCAGATTTTTAAATACGGAATTGCAGTACGTCATGGTAGTTAAGTCTCTTACTGCATTCTTNTGAGCAAGCCTACCAGATGATAAGAAAAGCAGATAGTATTTATATCCCTCTAGGCAAATGCTGGTAAAAGATTAAAAAATAATCCTTGTTCTTTGGAATAGAAGAATGGTCAGGACTTATGAAAAAAGCTTGCTATTATCTATGTAGAGGACGAATCTTTGGTAGATTCTGAAACAGGCCTTGCCTAAATTTAAGCAATCAATCCAGTTGGTAGAGGGGAAACAGACTTAATATCTTGCAAGACATGAGAGCCTGCGGTGACTTTCAAGACCAAAAGAAAAGTCTGGGAAAAACTAATCCTGCCCTGTCAAGTGCAATAAGAAGAATAATTCCTTAAGGCACAGATGTTGTTTCCCATAGGTTTAGATCTGGTCATAATTTTGAAGAACGTGGAGAAAAGGTATATTAAAATCATCAAGAGGCTTAGTCTGAGGAGAATGTCTGTCCGCCATTAGAAATATTTAGAAATGGGCCTAGTATAAGCAGTTGGTCATTTGGTTCAAGAATATTGAATAGTAAGAAAACAGAAAAACAACATAGTTGCTAAATATATATTTTAAGGAGATGCTTAAGATAGAAGACCCTACATGGTTACATTCCTCAGTTTCCCCAGGGTTTTTACTTCTTTTATTACTGAACAAGCCTTCCCCCCCCCCAAAGAGGAAATCAGGACTCCGAATTTTTAGTTAAGTCCAAAGAGCTAAGATGGGTATATTATCAGAGTGTGAAATAGCCTCAACTTAGCATCATCAACAATATGGCAAGATCAGTTATTGATCAAGTTACAAGTGACGTATCTCTAATTGGAAATTTTCCCCTTAGACTACTTATTCCCATATTGAAAAGTAGCTATACAAGTCTAACAGTACAAGATGCAGAAATCCAGGGCACGTGTGAAAAACGAGGAAGTTTGAAGTAACTAAAAATTTCAGCCTTACACGCAAAAGAGAGTTTCTGTTCTGTGAGAGGAATGAGGATTATACCACAGTATCGGGTCACTAACAGGGAAGGTTGTTTAATCGTGTGGCATTTGGCAAAATTGCAAGTCCTTACATCCTTAGAGGGAGAATAGTGTAATTCTGACTTGATTTCACGGCTCTAGCATTCTCATTTCCAAACACAACTACTAAATGATAGGATTTTGTGGCTGGGGCTCCAGAGTAGCAGATGCAAATCTAGTATATGAAGTTTCCTTTTTGGGAACTTATAATCGCCTAACAGGGCCTTTGCTTGCATTCCTTGGACACTGATACTGGCCTATAAAGCTGAAATTGCATCTTTGTATCTGGAAAGCTTAAGATCCGAGATTGGTACCGACTTCAATCTCAGTTCCCTTGACATTCATCATTTCTAGAGGCCTAAAACTGCTGTTAAGGTTAAACAAGCATCAGCCCAGGGGTGGGATTCAGCCGGTTTGGATGGGTTCAAGCGAACCGGTAGTTCTGGCGATCAGTTGACCCCGCCCACCCACCACTGCGCTAGTCTGTCCTATATTTTTTTTTTTTTGCTTGAAGCCCAGCTGATAGGCGTGGCAGAATGTATTGCCGCGCCTCAGCTGTTTTACTCACCGGGGCTGCAGTAGAAGGTAAGTTTTAGAGCTGTTTTCAAACACACTGCATGCACGGAGCATGCATTTGGCGCAAAGCGTACACTCAGCAAACCGGTTGTTCCACAGGTTGAATCCCACCACTGCATCAGCCAGACTAGAGAGGAACGTTCTGGACTTTGTGATCACTGCTGTAAGAATCTGTTCCCAAATGACGGGAAAACAGTCTGTTCTAAGCATCCCTGCAATGTCAGGTTTTTAGCAACGGATATACAACTCCGGTGGATGTCTCTTGCCACAGCAAAATAAGCCCTTAGCGTATCCATTAGTAGAGAAGCTCTGCACACATAATGGAGCATTTTTAGAAAAATAAGGCCATAGGCCTCTCTAAGACTAAAAATTGTTCTCAAAGGAGAAATTAAAGCATTTTAATGATAAGGAAGCAATTTGTAGAGGGGGGGTTCAGTTGTTTCTGTATGTTTTTTAGAATATAAAGACTTAAAATGGAAGGCATAAATGCACTCAGCAGTGCTCAAGTGCATTCAGAGAAGGCAAGTATGGTTAGAAAAGAGGAACTGAACATTGGCGAGCTAACATTTTAAATGGGATAGGGCGGTCAACCCAAATAGAAAACTTCCTGTGTGATACACAGAGACTAGCAGTAGTAATTGAATTGAATTGAATTTATTGCATTTATATGCCGCCCTT